TCTCTCTCTCTCTCCTTTCACACACACACAAAAATCCCTTTTCTTTTCTGGGCTCTTTCCCCAAAAAATCTTTGTCAATCCCTACGGATTTCATTTATCAAGACTCAGCACCTCGCCACTGGGGTCGTCTCTTTCCGCTTTGGGGTTTCAAGAATCCCATGGGCTGTGCGCCGCCGTAGAGACTTGATAAGCTCCCTCCCGCCGCGCCCCCATGTCGTCCAAGCGCAGGGCCGATGATTGCGCCGACGACGCCCTTCCACTGCCGATAAACCCTTCTGGAAACATGCGAAAAGACCAGAACGCCCTCCCCTCCTCCTCTTCCTTCCTCTCCTCCCCCCTCTCCCCCCGCCCCGCCTCCCCCCTCCTCCGATCAGGCGCCGCCGGCGCCTCCCCATCCGCCGCACGCATCCAGTTTTTTGTCCGCATACTCTCCGATCACACCCTCGTCCTCCACGCCGACCCCCGGGACACCATCAGATCGATTCACGAGAAAATTCAGTCCATCACCGGAATTTCCGTCATCGAGCAGCGCCTCATCTACCGTGGCAAGCAGCTCCAGTGGGAGCAGACCCTCTCCGAGTGTGGGGTTCAGAACGATGCCGGCCTCCACATGGTCGGCCGCATGCGCAGCACAGGCCACCCTCAGGCCTGGCAGCTCATCAACGATGTCGTATCCCAGGTCTTCTACCAATACAAGAATAACCCCTCTTCCCAGACTTTCTTTCCCCCCACCCCCCGCAAAACCGTCAAGTCTATGCTCCTTGAGTTCCTGTCCATGACCCCAAGAACGGATACCGATCAGGCCTCTGGCCACCTCCAGATTTTCAGCGCCTCCTCTGCCCCAGCCGCCCTAGTGATGCTCTACATGTCCTCTTACAAGCCCAACCGGGACGTGGCCGGTGATGCCATCACGCATTTCATCACCTCTTGCAAGACCATCTTGCCCAAGCAGCACTATCATCTCTGTGTGCCCATAGTTATGGAGTTCTGTAAACTGTTGAGTAGGGCCGTGGGGATAGATGACTCTTTGTACGCTCTGTGTAGGAGTAGCTTAGGGACGATGGTGGAGTTCATCGATATTGGGGAGAAAAAGGATTCAGTTGGGCTTCGCGACGTGTTCTTGTTTGTTTGCGAGTTGGCTACCAAACTGTCCTCTGATTTGGTGACGAGTACCCAGTCTGGATCCTTCTCGGCTCCCTCGATCTCTGATGTTCAAGATTTCGCAGCCTTTGTGGCCCCTGTGAGGAATGGGATTAAGGCAGACATAGGATTTTGTGGGCCCATTCGAGTTCCATTGAGCGAGGAGCTTTGCCGGCTGCCCTTGTGTTATGCGAATGAGATTGTTGTCTTGCACGGGATCTTTTTCGACCTTCTGAGCAAATTGGAGAAGTGTATGGTGAAAATCGAAGAGCGTCTGGACCGAGCCAAGAAATGTGAGGGTGAGACCTTTCATGTCGGGTGCCAGTACCTTGATCTTCTGAAGGAGCTTAATAGTACTTCCAAACTCTACCAGGGCTGCGAGGAGGTGTTCTGGGAGACTATGAAGCAGAGAAAGAGTGCCGTGTGCTATCTAATCTTGAGGTGTTCTAGGAGGAGTGACGATCACATCTGGATTTCAGATTGTAAGGAGGTGACCACTTTTGAGGCAAGGAGACACCTGGCGATGATGCTTCTTCCTGAGGTGAAGGACGACTTTGACGATCTGCACGAGATGCTCATAGACCGATCAAACTTACTGGCGGAATCATTCGAGTACATTATAAATGCAGATTTGGAATCCTTGCGTGCGGGCTTATTCATGGAGTTCAAGAATGAGGAAGCAACGGGTCCTGGCGTGCTGCGGGAGTGGTTTTTCTGCGTATGCCAAGCAATCTTCAACCCTCAAAATCCGCTCTTTGTGGCTTGCCCGAATGATCGTCGAAGGTTCTTTCCGAATCCAGGTGTGCATTTTTCAAGTGTTTTCTGCAATCTATCTATTTATCTATATATATGTATCTTGAAGTTCTGTAGTTCATGCTGTGCCAGTAGTTATTGAGATATAGCTATGAATTTTCTAACAGATCATGAAACAATATTCCTTAAGTTACTGTTTGTTGAAGACTTGAACTACCAACCGAAAGGAAGCAGTAGGAAAAAGGATGCATCTATCTGTTTTCAAATAAATATTGGTTCTTTAATAGAGGTTTTATATTTGATGTTTCCTCGTCCATCTTTCTAACAAGTTTGAGTTGAAAACTTTTAGTATCTTTATCAGCAGTTAGATAATGAAATGGATAGGTACAAAGGATAATCATACTTACAATCTTCCTTGACCTCGAGTGATTGTGCTGTTCTTAGTAACTTGGTCTAGTGATCATATGAAAAAGAAGCACCGACACCAAGTTCTAGGTGATGGTGGTGGCTGCTTATGTGTTAATAAGATATAATATTTGGGAGACACATTGATGTGTTACAAGAGGAGTATAAATTGGATATTAAAGTGGTATACATTTTGATTTTATGATTATAATTGGACTGTAATATGAATGCTGAAAGTTTGAGTATTGCCAACATGTCGCGTACTAAAGATTCGGTGCTGTTGGATAGATGTGGACAGTAGAACCTTGTTGTTTGTTCAAATATAATGTCATTTTGTTTTCTCTTTATATGTTTGTCTCTCATGGAGTGGAGCCACAGATAAATAGGGGGCTTTATAGAGTTTTGATTACTCTCTTATGGTCATGCACTTAATGCTTTTGGATGAATTTCATAAATAATGATATGAAATTATCCTTTTTGGCTTGCTTAATGGTTGGAATGGACAGTCTCCTTGATGTGTAAATGCGTGAGGTTTGTTTAACCTGTTTCTTCATGTTGTGTGCATGGTAGGGAGGGTATGGTTCCCCTGGATGTAGCATTTGGTTCCGTATATTTAACTAGCTTCCCATTCTGATTCCTGGTTCACTGTCATGGAATCACATTGTTGTGTTACTGAAGCCAAATATTTTAGGAGCACCAATATGAAGATTTGTGAGCCGTGATAACTTGAAATCTTTGATTTTGTTTTTCAATTTATCATTTTGATCATGTCATTCTGATGTTGTTTCATTTTATTGTTGCCCTTTTCCTTCACCAGTGAGCCTCTCATACCATTTTGTAATTTATATTGTTTTTTTTTTCTCTTGGGAAGAGTCGGTTCAGAGAGACCTTAAAAATTAGAATATCTCCAAGGATTTAGTGGTGGATAGGAGCGCTTGGAGGCTAGCAGCGATCAACTTGCCGGAACTGTGACTTTTGCTCCTTTCTCTTTTTGCTCATCTCTTTCTTTTGTTTTGTTTTTGTTTTGAGTTGAGTTTTGTTTTGTTTTGTTCTGATTTGAGCCCTTTTTTGTGTTTCTTACCACTGTTTCTCTTGGGTTTCATCTCTAGCCTACCCCAACTTGTTTGGGACTAAAAGGCTTTGTTGTTGTGTTGTATTGTTTTTTTTTTCTCTTCCTTTGCCTACTCACCTAATGTTATCTGATGTTGGGGCGCTATACCGCCACCAATGACGCCATCTCCCCTCCTGTCTCCTCTCTGTCTCTCTCTCTCTCTCTCTCTCTACACACACACACACACACATATATGTATGTGATTGGCAAAGGTTGGTACCTGATCAAGCCTAACCCTTTGAAAGAAGTATGCTATCTAGTAAGATCACGCAGAGGGGCTCCTTCTAGCAGTCTGGTGTTATCTTCCATAAAACACCTCTTTTTAAATCTTAGATACACGGAATTCTTCGTCTAGAAGAAAAGAAATCTTTCAGATTGATATTGATTCAGAGGTTTCTTCTGTCCTATCGAATAGGCTGGTAGAAGCTTTTACCTTATCTTTGGCAAGACATCAAATATAAATCAATATAAGGGGGTTGATTGTGGGGGCTGTTCTTATTATCGGAGGGGTTTGAATTAGCTCCTTCCGATCGTATTTCACCCGCGGCCTATTCTATTTTGGTAGTTCGATCATATATTTTTTCTGGATTCATTTTGGTTCTTTTGAGTCTTGCTCGAGACGGTGGTATAGTGGTGGAACACTATCTTCTATATATATGAAACTGAGTTCGCCTTTCCAAAAGGACTCATATCCTTTTTTTCCGCTATTGTCTCTGAAGCTTCCCAGTTGCTCTATGTTTTCTACTCTCTCTCTCTCTCTCTCTCAACAGCTCAACAATGGTTGTTACCTTCTCGGATATGAACACAGATGCTGTCAAGGCACTCGAGGACTTCCTGTCCAGGATATCTTACATCTCTAGGACCAACTGTTAAAATATGATGTTAATCATTACAGCGCCACTTTGAAGTAGCCGAATGCCAATCTTTACCCCAACACCTGCAAATGGTATGTGATTTTTTCTGCCAGCTTTCCAGGAAGGGATGTTGGAGTAAGCGTTGGAGGCAGTGCGGAATTTTTTGCTCCTGCTTAGGAAACTGAAGAGTCTGCGGCTGAAAATGACAGTTGCTCACAGAACATTAGCTAAGGAAAGTAACGAATATTTTCAGAGTTGTGGTATTTTGGCTGTCAACAAAATTTAAACGTCTAAGCCTAGTCTGGCCCTGATTTTGTTAGTTTTATAAGGTCATTTGCTTGTGGGTGTCATTTATTTTTTGACTTTGTTTTGCGTGTCTTACCAAAATGTGCTTTGTTTCAATTCGAAAAAAATAAAAGACGATCAATATCTTGTTTTCGTTATTCATATTTTTTTGTTTTTATTCCTCCTTTCAGTTTGATGAATGTAAACTTCACAAAAACACCATCCATTTGCTTAAAGTAGAGTTCGGATTGGAAGTTGCATACATGGAGTGAAAGTTGGTAAAGAAATAGTCCGACTCTAGAATTAGGGTAGTGTGTTTTAACTGAAGTTCCATATACAGTCCTAGCAGAAAGATATCCCTATCTATATTTATCAACACAAACTTTCTTGAGCTTGTATCACTTGAAGCATGCTTATGCTGATTCATGGCTCATGGCTTATTCTGGTGGTTTGAAATCGCCCTTATCACCATTTTGACCTTCGGAGTGACAGCTTTGGTTTTCCACTTTGGTTTTCTACATCAACTGCCCATTAGAAATTGTAATTTTTGTAATTAGCATTCTATTTTCCGTTTTTTAATTAATCAAAATCATTTATAGATCAATTTTATTTGTTTCCTTTTTTAGCTCTTCCTTATATTAATTACTATAAACATGTTTTCTATTTTTAAAACCTAATAACCTTTTTATATTGTTATCTTTTTTATATAATATATCAAATCAATCATTTATTGATGATCTTTGACTTGGCATTCACTCTGCATATATAAATATCTAGTTGAAATTTATCTCTTAATGTTAATTGGAAAATAATTCTTTAAATAAAAAATCTCTTATGAATTGAAGACACGACATCGTCACAGTGAAAAAACATAATCATTATAATATATTTATGATGACAGTTTTGGTTTGTATCTGTTAAAACCTGCTCAACTTCATGTGGCGGTATCAAAAGTTGTGGAGCATAATATTTTGGAAAAATCTATTTGTTTCAAAATGATGTAATTGTGAATATACAAATGATGAATTGTACAAACGAAATTTCAAAATTTGAAATGAATGGTTTGTGTTAATTATTTTTCCTTATATACATTTATGTAACCTCTGTGTAATACTTGGGTGTTGTGTTAGCTAGCATGAGAGGTGACTTGGCCTCTTGATTCTGATTCACAAGTATATTTGAGACTGGGAATATTCATTTCCAGCTATTCTGTACCTTGCAAAAATATTGATTTCTGGGTTTTGTTTATCTTTCCTTAAATTTAAATGAGTCCTGAGGTGGGGCGAGCACATGGTCAAGGGAATGGCCAGTTTGACTTCCATTATTGTTCCTAGAATTACACGTGAATTACATACTATTATAATTGTGGATGCAGTATATGTATCTTTGAGATTTGAGTTTTTGTTCCTTTGGAGTAGATTTATCCAGCATATTTTTCTGGAATTTTATGTTGAAGATCTGGAATTTTATGTTGAAGATCTAATGTTGTGATTCTGATATTTAAAACTTGACAACAATGTGGAATACATCAAACTCCCTTGTCCCTGTAGCCTTATCTTTCTTTCTTTTTATTTTTAATCCGCCAATCAAGAAATTTTTTCTCTGATGCTACTTGCAACTTGAAGGGTGTGCTTAAAACATGGAAAACCAGCCCAAACTGTTTGAGCAATATTAGAATTTTCTCCGCGCATGACGTTTTAAGAAGATTTAGCCGGCTTCCTGCAATGCATAATTTTAAGTTTATCATTTCTGGTTTGACATTTCTTTTCCATTTTATATCGTGTGACTGATGCAGATTGTGACTCGAAAATTGACAACGTGAGCTTGACTTGTGCTCATCCCCTTTTAAACAAAGACTTCAGGTTTCTATTGTAGATGGCTGGAGTAGACTTCGTTGTTGCTATGATTGTTTTTTTTTCATATCTATGAAATTATAATAATGCCCAGAGGTTGTATATTGGTGATTGTGCATTGAAAAGTTGTTGCTGGAAGCTTGGAGTGGGTGCTTTTGCTCCACAAGATTATTGGTTCTATGACGGAGAATGAATTTAAAACTGTTGACTTGCCTTGCTTTTCTGATACTTGAAAAAAATATGACCCGACTAGACAGCAACAGCTTTATAAGATTCAACTCAAATCTATTTTTGTTCGTAGAACTTTTTACTGCACTTGAAACTTACTGCACTTTTAAGCGGAGCATTTTTTCTGCCTTCCCTATTAACCCTGTATTTACTATTTTAACATGCATGATTTTTGGAGACTTGTCAAAAGATTAAAATTCCAGTACACGAAAGATACTGTGATGTGTTTTCCATATGTCAGTGATTATCAAAATTATTGATAACTGGTTACCATGTATTTGGCTATTTGCCTACGTAATAATGTGGAGTTGAAATCTTATTCCAGTGCTGTGCATGTGCCGTGGATGACTGAACATATAATTTTAAATAACTACATAAGATGATATTACGACATACCATAGATGTTTCTTCATTCCAGTCATTTTTTTTTTTTCATTTACCACAATTTTTTATTATTATTAGCGGTAAGGGTGGGCATCTGAATTGTCGAACCATCTGAAGCATTTTTTTACTCTAATTTCTAGTAGCTGGTAATATTATGTCCTGATAAGGTAAAGGAAAACTTGAAGAAGACTGTTAAAAGGAGAAATCCTTTCTGGCAGACATAGTGTTACTTTTCTCATCTCCCGTGGTTTCTTTAATAGGTTCTTCAAATGCAGTCTATGTAATCATTCTGCTAAATTTGAATTGCACACGAAACTGTAAGGTTGAATTTATAAGTCCGATTTTTTAATTTGTAGTTTACTTATTTGAGTGAATATATGTCTCTTTTGTCTGTACTTCTTTGAACTGTAAAAAAGAGTGTCTGATTATCTTTACTTCACTCTTCAATTAGAAAACAGGGCATTCAGATATCTTTCTCGAGTTAGTATGAAGAATATTTCAATAGAGACAATAGCAACTTCCAAGGTCTATTTCCCCACACAAACACCTCTTATCTTTTTCTCGTCTCTGATTGACTGAGTAGAAAGTAAATATATTACAATGAATAGAAACTGTTCCTCATAAATAATTTCCTTTCTTCAATTCTGCTTCTCATGGCATACAATGCAATTGGGGGCAAACTACAAAAACTAAAGGAAACTTACAATTTTTCAATCATCCTCAGCATCCACCGTGGACCCCCTTGACCGAGAGTACTTCAATTTCGTGGGAAAAGTGATCGCCCTGGCCCTGATGCACAAAGTCCAGGTTGGCATTGTGTTCGACCGGGTCTTCTTCCTCCAGCTGGCTGGGCAGCCCATCACGCTCGAGGACATCCGGGATGCGGACCCCACTCTGTACAGCAGCTGCAAGAAGATCCTGGAGATGGACCCATCTGCCGTGGACCAGGACACCCTAGGCCTCACGTTTGTGGACGAGATCGAGGAGCTGGGGATGAGGCGGGTGGTCGAGCTG